TTCTTCGAGAAATGGCATATCAAAAGAATACTCTCCACGCCATATCATCCCGCGGGTAATGAGCAAGCGGAGTCCTCCAACAAGTCAATATTGAATATCACGAAGAAGAAGCTCGAGAACGCCAAGGGACTGTGGCCGGAGTTGTTGCCGGAAGTGCTATGGGCATACTGCACAATGCCGAAAACAAGCACAGGAGAAACATCGTACTCACTGGTCTATGGGACAAATGCTGTAATACCGGTCAAGGTCGGAGAACCAAGTCTAAGGTACTAAGACGATAGCGGGCCGAGAAAATATGAAAGCAGGAGGCAAGACCTCGACGAGGCTGAAGAACGAAGAGATATGACTTACATAAGACTGGTCTCTCAGAAACAACAGGCAGAGCGATACTACCAAAAAAAAAAAGCTAAGATCAGACCGCTCAAAGTCGGAGACTACGTACTCAAAAGCCAAAACACAGTCAAGCAAGGATCCACGAGAAGGAAAGCTAGGGACTAATTGGGATGGTTCATACAAAATCATGGCGGCAGCAAGCAAAGGGTCGTTCCAACTAGAAACAATGGAGGGAAAATTATTACCAAACAACTGGAACATCGCCCACCTCAAGTATTTCAACTTCTAAGGAAAGATGTTGTCCGAGCCGTAATCTTTTTCCCTCACCTGAGTTTTGTCCCAATTGGGTTTTCTCGGGGAGGTTATTAACGAGGCGACGAGGAGGACATTTCGAAGTTAAGCATGAGCAGAAGAGATTACAAGTTGGTAAGTTCATTGCTCGACCCCTCGAATACTTCTCCAGGTCGAACAATGAAGGGACTAGATAGACTGGGACTTGAATACCAGCCCGAAAAACGTGTAAACTTCTCCAATGTATATATGTAAGCAACGCAAACAAGCACATGATGTTTGCTTGTCTCCACCAAGTTTTAACTCCGCACCAATTAATAGTAACATTCGACCTCGCTCGAATCAACTCGCATTCGACCTTGTTCAAATTAATTAATTTCAACCTTGCTCGGATCTACTCGCATTCGACCTCGTTCGAATTAATTAAGAGTAACATTCGACCTCGCTCGAATTAACTCGCATTCGACCTCGTTCGAATTAATTAAGAGTAACATTTGACCTCGCTCGAATCAACTCGCATTCGACCTCGTTCGAAGTAATTAAGAGTAACATTCGACCTCGCTCTAATCAACTCTCATTTGACCTCGTTCGAATTAATTAAGAGTAACATTCGACCTCACTCGAATCAACTCGCATTCGGCCTAGTTCGAATTAACGAAGAGTAACATTCGACCTCGCTTGAATCAACTCATATTCGACCTCATTCAAATTAATTAAGAGTAACATTCGACCTCGCTTGAATCAACTCACATTCGACCTCGCTCGAATCTACATTCGACCTCTTTCAAATTAATTAAGAGTAGCATTCGACCTCGCTCGAAATAACTCACATTCGACCTCGCTCGAATCAACTCACATTCGACCTCGATCGAATTAATTAAGAGTAACATTCAACCTCGCTCGAATTAACTCACATTCGACCTCGCTGGAATTAATCAAGAGTAACATTCGACCTTGCTCGAATCAACTCACATTCGACCTCGTTCGAATTAATTAAGACACTCACATTTGACCTAGTTCGAATTAGTTGAGTGGCGTTCGACCTCGCTTGAATTCAACTTACATTCGGCCTAACTCGAACTTGACTCACAGAATAACCTCGTTCGAGTTAATTATGGAAACGTTCGACTTCGCTCGAAGTAATCAAAGACATTCGATCACGTTCGAGCTAATGCCTACCAACACAATTCTATTAATCAAGGCAATCAATTGAGGAAAATATTCAAGAAAAAATAGGAGACTCGGAAATAAACAGCAAAAGTAGCATTCCAAATCAAAGGGTATCTTACAAGGGACGAAAGACGCCCACAAAAATAAAAGCAAAAGATTACAAAGCATTACTAAGCAGCATCGCCCCCACCATCACCTCCACCATCGTCGTCGTCATTAGAATATTCGTCATCATATCAGGCACTTGGCTCAAGCCTGTCCAAGTCATCTTCACCATCAGGGCCCCTGGCGTAGCAGGATCATAACCATAGGCGACCCGAGCTGCGCGCGCCTTAGCACGAACATCTTCAAACTTAGCCTTAGAAACGCTCCCGGCCATTATCAAGCCCCTGAATATGTCTATTTGAGCCTCAGCGTGAATCCACTTCTCGTACAAATCCCGTGGAACATCGGGATAAGTGGAGGCATGAGATGAAGACGGTTGAGCCAGTATCTACGCCTTTTCGGCCTCAAAAACGGCGATCTGCTCATTTAGGTCCGAAATATCTTTCTCAAGACCACCAATCCGTTCGTCAAACCTCGCCTCCCTGAGTGCGGCCGTCTCCACATCATTCGCCCGCTCAGGTATAAGGACACAGATGGTATCCTCTAATGCCGCCACCTTCGCCAAAGTCGCCGCCCTGGCCTCCTCGGCCCTCTCCAACTCTGCCACTTTTTGGAGCAACTCATCACTTAAGCCGTTAGCTCTAATCGAGCTCTGCTCAAGCTCGGCCCGCAGGGACGCCACTTGAGCTTGAAGGTCGACACACTCAGCCACGCCCCCCTTGCTCACTTCGAGCTCGTCCTCCTTGGCTCTAAGAGCTCCCTCACACTGCATCTGCCGATGATCCTCACAAGCTCATCGTCCTTCTGCCCCAACTCATCTCTAAGGGACTGGAAATTACCGCCCGCGCTAAATCGGGCACGCATCTCACGATACTTGCGATACTTCAAAACCATATTCTTGAAATCAATCTTCCATTTCTCCTCTCAGCGGGCGCTCTCGATCTCCAAAATGAGAGTTTAAGGCAAAAAGGAAGAGCCAAAAAGAGTCAGTAAAAATAAAAAGGAGAAAGGATGCAAGGTACAAGAACAACAAAAACAAAAATACAAACTCACCCTCAAAGCCATTCCGGATATGCCTAACGACAAACAGGCATCCTTAAATGACCGTAGAGTCCTGTTCTCGACGCCAGAGCAAAGAGGGACCAAAGAAGGGACCACGCTCTATGTGTTCGTCAACAGGTCACAGTCCAGGGGAATGACGATAGAACGAGTAGATCCATCCGTTCTCACCTCGACCCGGGTTAACCCCTCATTGAACATCCTTTCCTCTTTGGGGTCGACGTCGGAACCGGACTCATAGTCATCTACGGCCGCACCTTTCTCCCTCTCCTCGGTAGAGAAAGGAACGTAGGCCCGCTGTAACATTGACGGATCACTCCTCGGAAAGACCTCCGCTGCCTTTGATCGCTCTCCTCCTTCTACGGTGACCTCTGACAAGGGAGCAATCTCCACATCTGAAGGGGACGCAGTCTCTGCGTCCAAAACCATGCCATCCTCGGGCACGACCGCTGCCGGATTGGGATCGCCCCTTGTTGGCTCTTCGTTCCCTACTGCCTCGCCGCCGACCTCTACTCTCCGTCTTTTTAGCGGAACTGCTTCCCCCTCGCTCAGCGATGACTCGTCCACCAAATGCAGTATCGGAGCAGTCGGAGTCTCCACTGATGGGCAGCCACTCGAGGACCAGGCCTACGCAGGGTCGGGGCTCGAGAAGAAGCAGCAGTCTGTGCGGACTCGCCTACAGTCACAGCGAGCAGAGACCCGGTCGAACAGATACCTGAGAAGAAGCAGCAGTCATGCTTTTTGGTCAAACAGATGCTTAAGCAGTCAAGGAAAATGCATATATGTAGGGGCTTTTTGCAAAGAATAATGTGTAATTAAAGGATGTCTTTTTGAGGCCTAAGATCAGTCATTGCGTGATCAGGTGCTCCTTTGGTGTTTGTTTCCAATTGTTGTTATCAATGGTAATTCACAGTGTTACCAAAAAATAAATATCTACTAGAACAAATTACAAATTTGCAACTGCTATCGGCAACTCAAAGTAAGATGGATAGTTTTGAAACTAAATCTTGACGGGCACTATGCTTTAAGTTTGCTATCCACTTTACTTTATGATAAACATCGTATAATATGGCTGTTTATGTTCCCCTTATTTATGTGAAAGTGATGATATGAAAAATACTCTTGTAGCTGACTTGAAAAAAGATATTTATATTCATGGTTTAATCAATCTATTTAATTGATTTTTGTATGCATAGAGAGTGAAAATTTATCTCTACACCAGCTAAATTTATAAAAGGATTATTTTGTCAATTCATTAATTTTTCTCATAACCGTGCAAAGCGCAGATAAATTAATTAGTTACAAAATAAATAAGAAAAAAACTACAAAGCTACTCTCTTTTAAGCTTGTCGCTATGTTCATAATAATCTTTTTTTATTTGTTTCATATTTGGTCATCTTTTTCGTGTGCAAATTCTTCTCAAGAAGGTGAATGGAAGCCGGTTTAGGATGCAATGAAGCATGAAATTATACTTCTGCTACAAAAAAAAAGATAATCCCTCCGTTCCAGTTTATGTGAACCTATTTCCTTTTTGATCCGTTCTAAAAAGAATGACCCCTTTCTAAATTTGGAAGCAATTTAACTTAAACTTACAATTCTACCCTTAATGAGAATCTTTTATAACCACACAAATACTCTGGACCCCTTTTTAACTTGTTTAGGACCACAAATTTCAAAAGTCTTTATTTTTTCTTAAACTCTGTGCCCAGTCAAACAGGTTCACATAAATTGGAACGGAGGGAGTATAAAATTAAAACATAAAGGGAAATATATGCGCTGTAGATTAAATTACAACTTTGTTGAAGAAAACCTGAGAGAAGTGAGGTTTGGATAATATTTGTAAATTGTAACCATACATAATATACCTGTTACAAGCTGAAATCTAAGGGAATAGAGAATTGCAACTTACGAAGTATGAATGGCGACCAACAATTTTCCTCCTCGATAAACAACCTTACTTTCGCTTGCCTCATTTCCTAAAAAGCATTCTATTGGAGAGATGCGATATCATCAACATACGATAAAGTTTGACACAGAAATGAGAGACTTCCAAATATAAGCTCCGACTTTCTCTTCCAATTAACAATAAATTGTACGTTTCTATGTTTGCAGCTACTTTATGTATGATTTTGGGAAAATCTGCCTTACAATATTCAGATATCCACCTTTATATGTCTTTAGATATCTAAAAAATCAGTTGTAGAGTTGTTACATCGAAGTGACAATATATCAGGGGGAGAAGAAAAAAAAAAGAGAAGGATGGAAATATTGATACAAAATTGAAGTAGACCTATGAAATATTAATTTAGAAGGTAAACTATGAGACCTCTGTACCAAACCAGCCCAGCCTAAACTAGAAGGTTAATGAGTTTTGCCTTTCAGCAGGGGCAACACACTGCCATAACGAACGATAAGGTGGAATACTAGCTGCGTCGACCCCAAGTGATGATAGGCTCCGTGCATATTCCTGATCGAATGAAATGTTTAAATTAAGCAAAAAAGAGGAAGATCATTTTTCATAGTGCTGCACCTCAACCAAAATGTCCATACGAATGCTTCGTTAAATATATAGCCAGGACTAAGCAGAGGTGATAGTTACCTGAATGTCAAGAAATAATTGCATGCAGATCTTGTCAGTATCAGACAAATTCTGATCTGAGACATCTGAGCTTGCTCCAGCTCGTCTTTGAGCACCCAAACGTAGTTTTTGAAGCGAAGATTCCGTTCTTCGACTCTGTGAACACCAACGGAAAGTAGATCTTAATAAATATTATCTGGAAAAATGGAAACCCGGGGAACAAACAGCACAGGTCAGTATCCCCTGGTTCACTCACCATATTGACAAGGTCTGTAGCTAATTCATTGTAACGTCCAGTTATTTCCAAAGCGGCACCTTGCAAGAGCTCATTCCTGATCTCACTTGTCAGACATGTAGCAGCCCGTTCTCCATCCAAAAATTCCTGGAACACGTGAGTGGTTCCAGATTAAAACCACCAAAGTCCGCTTGATTTAAAAAACAAGAGTTCTAGTTTTTGTAATTCTACACATCACACAAGCAATAGAATCTAGCTTTGCAGCAATACAACAACGGATACTAAAAAACCAAAATGAACTAGTAAGAAAGCACAAAGAATCAAATTACAGATTTCCCATTCATATTACTAGCAACAATAACATACAAAGATTCAAGTTACTGAATTCTATAGAAATTTTTGCCTGAGATGGCATGAAATGAGGCTTGTCATTTGAGATGACAAGAAATGAACTTTGTGAGAACATATTAATGCTGAGATTAAACGCAGGCTGGTCAATATAACAGTGTCACTGCCTTTGTATCACACTACGAAACTAAACAAGTCCTACTCAAAAGCCCCAAAGCCGTAGAGACAAGTCCAACTATATATGCTGGTGGGGCAGGAGTGGCCGCGCAGGGTAAATGGGGTCGGACAGCGAAAATCTTATGCTAGGCGGGTCAAAATTCATTTTTTGAAGGGGGTAGGTTCACTTTATTTAGAAATCAACTGACAGTTGACAAATTTAGGCATTTTAATGGGAAATAAAGCGGTCTCAATATCAATGAGATTGCAAAATGTGTTTAAAACTATCCAAGTCAATACGGGGACATCCGTAAAACAAAATAGAAAAAAGTTGAAAACTATCAACTGTCTTGTTGGCATGGAGATTGTAGTGTATGCCTAAACGAGTTGTATGGTTCCCACGGGTTGGAGAGCTATTTTAGAGGACTTTTACAATCTGTAAGCAACAGGAAGATCATCCATCATTAACCCCCCTTTTTTAAAGTCATATAACAGCATCCTGTGTTGTAATTTACCTCTGCTAACTAGCAATGTCTTTAATTAAGTAAAGAACCAAAACAGCATAGATTTTTTTTAGATTTTTATACTGGACTAAAAGCCACACAAGTCCCTTTCTAAACAAATTTCAATGACAAACACAGAGGTAACAAATAAGTGGCAGAAACTAATCCCAAAAAGATTGAGGTACTTGTGACATAAAGCCTTATGCACCAGAACCAAGTCCCTCAATTAATAGTGTTGCTTGAATTGCACATTAAGTCACCAAGCGAACTTCAAAAATATCTTGTGCTGAGAAAAATTGTATACAACAGCAGGAATTAATTCAACTTAAAAATAAGCATAAACTAGAACGAAGATCAGTAAAGAAATACTTAACAATTTAAAAAAATCAGAAATTTCCGCGTAAGCAAACAATGATGATACACTAACATGTACCTTTAGTGGACGTAATACCCCAGAGACATATGGGGAATGCCTGACTGGGAGAGGCTTGTTAGTCATCCTGTAGGTAGCAGTTATTCCTTTCAACTGCCTCAAGTCCTACAACAAATTTGAAGGGGGCAAACAAATAACAAAACAAGAATTAATCAATCATAGACCAATAGAATCTCCCTTTTTTTTTTTTTGACAAAGATTCATAGACCAATAATCTCGAACAATAATTAACAGAAGAAGGATAAAGAAAGCTAAGGATGCCAATTAACAGATCCAACTCAATTAAAAGCTGCCACCCTTGGGTCTTCCAGTCAGGTTATGGTCGACTAAGGGAAGTATGGTCTAGAAGTGACAATATGGGGGTTTCTATGTGAAGCAGATTCAGTTAACAGTATAAACACGATCCAGTAGCTTACAACATTAAACTTAGTGTGTACAATTGACAATTTAAGATTTGTCGCTCCTAGATCTTGTCTGTTGTTCCTCTAAGATAAATGTTTCTACACTGAACTTTGAAGTCAAATTCTAGAAATAACCAGAAAACTACATTGAGCTAAATCCATACAGGTGACATTGTTCATTCAGGAAATTGTTACAATAGAATTATAGTATTGATCTAATTAATCGAACATTTATCTCAGTAATGAAGAAGGGTGTACAGTTTGACAAAACTCCCTCTATTACTATTCTTCAATTTATGCTTACTAGATATACCTACTATTGTTAGAAGATTAACTATCCACCTAGCAACAAATCATAACTTATTACTTACCTCTACAGACTTCTCAACTATCGTCTCAATTATTGCATTCATCACAATTGGCAAAAGGTCCTTTAGGGTCTTCCCACCTTGTAAAATACCCTGTTTTACAATATCACACACTTCAGCAGGGCATGACTTGAGCAACTCAAGTGTGAGTTCAAGGTAATCACCACACACTTCCTCCACCAAACAGTTCAAATCGTGAACTACCTGTGACAAAACAATCATTATCAGTGACATGCTTCTATTAATCACTTGAACTGATGTAGAGTTCGTTTTTATTTGTTAGCATAAGCTGTTATTTGAGGGGGTTGTCACATGACCACTCTATCTCACAAGAAAAAGTTCAGCTAACAACAAAGTCTCAAACTCTCAAGAACTGCTTGACAGAAAGCATCTAAGAGATAAAGGGTATATATCATAATAGTATATGAGATTTCTGATGATATAACTGTCAGGGACGAGATACCGTACATATACTAAATCGTCAGGACCTGCAGAAATAGCCCATTCAAATCCAAGGTTTGAGCCCACATTACCAGCTTTACGAGCAGCCAATCCGGCAGATAACCAGTTTGAGAATCTACATTTTGACACAGCACTTAATATGTCATTAAGTAATTAGATGAATACAATTACCTCATGCAAACCAATATAAAGAAGCACATAATCTTCCTAGTTTTGATACCAGTCTGACCTGGACATAAGTTGCAAAGACAAACGCAGGAACTTGTCTGAGCAAGAAAGGACAAGAACATCATCTCTCCAGCAAGATCTTAAGCAATCTAAAAGAGACGTACTTTGCTTCAAAATCAAGTCTTGAGGCTTCCTCTGTTCAGAGGCCACTGGGACGAGACTAGCAACAGAAAGTGCAGAATCAAGAGCGCCAGCTATCTCCTGGAACCTGACATGATCAAGATTAACAATGACCCTCTGTGGTTAAGATATTTCGAGGGAGAAATACATTTTGTATTAATATGCATTAACAAATCATTACTTCACCTATGCGAGAGCAAAGCATAGTTGGTCCATGTTCTGGATAAAGGAGGGGTCTGATTGTAATGAATCCTTTGACTAGTGCATAAATGGATATTGAGGATTTCATTTAACCAAACCCAACCAATTTTAGGATTGAGGCATAGTTGCTTGATTGATTGATGCATTAACAAATTCTTAACTATCTCTGACAACTAAATTTCACTCTATAGTACCTCAATGAGAAATAGACACCGACATTCCATTGTTTCATGAAGTCAATATATGCAGCTTCAGAGCGAAACTTGACTACTTCAGATCGCGAGGGACAATAACCTAGCATCCATGAGGTTCATTAGCAAAAACTTTTAAACTGGTCAACCTACTAAACAGATAGTGATTCCTCTACCTTCTAAATGTGCCAAGAAATACAAGCTTGCTTTGTAATTTTTGAGGAACACCGTAGGCCTTCCAGGGGAGAATACCACCGGTTTTCCTTTCTGGATGGCAGAGTGAACCTCTTTAAGGATAGAATTTGCAATGAAGCTTGAAACATGTAAACCAGAATTTTCTGAAATAGCCACAGTAATATGTCATTTTGCTGCAATTGCTTCAACCGGATATGAAAATGCACAGACCAATAACCACCAAAAAAACTACCAGAGGGATAAACTGGAACATGCTCAGGTAAGTTAGACCTTTCTAAGATGATTTATCTTTCTGATAAGAGAACTATCTGTGGTGGTACAGGAATCAAGAGTAAATGGATCTTTCATTTGTCTTGATGTGCTTACATCGAACGGGTGTGATAAGGGTGTGGGTACTTCGTGCAGATATTTAATGATACTCTACCAATTAACAAAAAACTTGGCATACTCATACTGGATACTTACACACAACCATAATGGATACAAACCCATAAATAAATTATTTAAAGGTACGTCTTGATTAGGTTTGTGCTTGTGTCTTCAGGTAAAGCAAAATAAATCAAGCTCGTGAAAGTAATATGACAGGAACTAACTACATATGCAGAAGATCTTGCCCAAACTGACATCTATAATATAGCATCTTGAGTCTTAACAATCATACCGATAGAGGATATGTCCAATAGAAATTTACAATCATCCTCTATATATTGCTTGATCTTTGCATAGTCCTGCTCAAGTTCATCTCCAGATGATCCACCAACAACTCCAGATGGATTTTGCGGGATGACTTTTTGGATCAAAGGGCCCACTATAGTTGATCGAAAAGTTCCCTCAGCATTCCTGGTATTATCTATGGCAGCATATGCACGCAAGCAGTTGTATATTGCGTTGGCATCCCTATGTTCAAGTCCATCTACAAGACAGTGTTGCAAGCTTGTGTCCAATAAAGAGCTTGCATTCTGTATCCTCTTCTCCATATTCTCAATAAAGGGCATATTCTACAGTATCATCATGTAGAAAAGTACACCAGTCATCAGCTAACTTACAACAATCATCACATTGAAAAGTACACAAGCGTGAGCTATTTACACAAATGAATGAAAGTAGAAAGTACACAAGTCATCAACTAACTATTATACAACAATCATCACATAGAAAAGTACACAAGCATCAGCTATTTCACAAATGAATGAAACCAGGCAAATTGATAGGTAATGCAAAATCAAGAAGAATTAAATAGTAACCTCTTCTAGTTAAAGAAGAATTGGATACTGGATAGGCTAAGCTACGCATAGCCTGCTCTCTATGGTTTTGCTAGAACTTGTCAAGCTCCTCTGTGGCTCTGCGATTATTAAGGCAACGTGCTATTGTACTAGCGATGGAGTGGCTTGAATGAAAACGTTTGTCTAAAGAGGGTGTGGCCAAAGGCAGACTCTCTGAAATTCCTCATCCTACCCTTCCCTACTCCGAACACCTTAGTCTACTTCTTCCGTTTTTCCTCATCCCTAATCAATCACACATCCCAACCAGACATAAAAGACACACTCTGTCCCAATATTAATCCTAGAGGGAAGTTGTCAACTATAGGAAGTCAGGTCAGATTTTCTCAATTCCCAGAATTGAAACAAATAGCAGTTTCTTAAATACTACTCTTATGGGATACGCGGGCAATGAGAGCTTGGAAGACTTTGCCAGGAAAGTTAGATGGGTGACAACCTTCTGCTGTTGTAGCTTCTATTGAGTGAGGACAAATGCGGAATGAGTGTTACGACAAAAATTTCTTGTTACTAGATCTTTGGTCATCAAAGCTGGTTGCACAGATATGATTAGGAAGAAGAGATTTTCAAGTGTGGTGTTCTGTGTTCACTACTACTAGTCCAATTATAAAGCTATGTGGTGTTAATGGAAAAGGAGCCCAACTACGAAATGTGTCTAGAGTCAAAATGCCAACTCTTTCAACTATGAGTCATCAAAAAGAATAAATGACCACCAAAGGGGTAAAGAAATTAGCTTCCCATCCTTGTCAAAACAAAGGTAAACTACTGGCTCAATTCTAGAAGAAGAAAGAGAATTTTGACGCAGAGCTTGGCGTCATCTAACAGGGGGCTTCGAGGTTAATGCTAGTCCAAGCCATCTCATCTATTAAATGGAGCCTCAGAAGATGAGAATATAAGAGCTCAATCCACAGTAAGATGAGGATAAATACATGTGAAAAATAAGCAGCGGCATAAAAGAAGTGTCTGCTGACATTAGCTATGTTCAACAAGTACAAAGTACACCAAAGAACACTTTGGACAGAAGATGAGAGACTTCCTGAATTTCAAAGGGCCAAAAGTGTTGGGCGTAAACATGCAACCCCCCCCCCCCCCCCCCGGGGCACGAAATAAACAAAAGAAACAAGCATGTGGGAAATTAATGAGTTATACGGGACAGCCTTTAACTAAAAAGCTATCGCAGCTAAAATAGTCCAAGCCTGTCAAGATAATAGGCGTACAAAGACAGGGAACAAGCCAAGGCACAGAAGCGACTAATTCAGAAGTGTGTAATCTGTTATAATTCAGCGTCCAAGCCAATTTAACACATGAATTGAAAAGATAAATCAATAAAAGTTATATTGGTGACGAGAAATTGGGAGGTGACAGAGGAGAAGACTATATATCAGGAAAGCATTCCGACCATCTTCAAATTCAACAAACCAAGTTGGATCAATGCTCAATAGAAGCCATGAGAAAACTTCGGTAACCAAATTACACAACCCTTAAACTAGGAAGGTGTTCAACATATAAGTTAAACCAGTCTCAAATGGGAAATACTATCCTTCTCACTGGATCAGGATTTTGCACGTTAAACATGGATAAGAATGTCATTCCACATCAGAGATATAATCAGAACATTATTCACTTTCAAGATGGATTTCCTTCGGAAATGATGGAATTGAAGGAAACTAAGTAGAAAATTCTAGAAGAACATGAAACGAACAGAGGAGACCTATTTCATATAGGCTCACCGCAAGCCCAATAAGTTTGCTAACTTTCTAGGCATCTCATTTTCGGTTAAGAGAATAAAATGTTGTCACTGTTGACTAGAACTGTGAGGTAGGGAGGAGAGCACGACTCTAAGTATGTTCATAAATCTCAAAAGATAGGGAGGAATACCCTGAAATTGAGGTCGTTGACATCAAACATTGACAGTTATCAGAAAAAGAAGGTGATAGGCCAAGTAATTCTTTTAAATGCAGTTGAAACATTAACATGGAATCTGAGTAGTCTTAATGACTCTAAAACTGTTATACAAGAGAGGTAGTAAAAAGGGTAATGAAGAGGTGAAGACCATATGGAATTTGCTTTAAGAAAACAGGATGCCAAACATGCCGAACATGATCACAAGGACTGTTTAAAATCATAAGTTAAGATGGTTTTCCCTGAGTCTAGCCGGCATTTGGGGTATGCTAGTGTTAGGGAACAGGAGGATGTTATCAATGGAGGAGCTCTTAACGGCCAGCCAGCCAGTTGCTTTCATGCAAATTCCAATGTCAAGGAGCAGATTGTATATGAATTTCCTCAAGAATATAGAGATTGTAGATCAAGAACTAAGATATTATTTAACTGTTGCTTATGGAAGGAAGAGCGAAGAAACCATGATGAGTGAACTCCCCTAAAGATGAAGTGTGAGGTTTAGTTCCCTAATTTTGTCTTATCAAGTGTTATGGAAACCAATTGCCAACCACTGTCCTATTCTTCTTGATATTTGAAGTATGATAAAGTGGCCAAGGCCCTTTAGATTCGAAAAGGCGTGGCTCCAATTTAACGGTTTTAATGAGATGATTAATTAAGACATAATAGGATTACAACTATGTGAGAGTCAGAGAAACTATGGTCTTCATATTTGCACTTAGCTTTATAATGTTATAAGATGGCACTAAGCAATGGAAGAGGAAGATACTGGCAGAGTTGAATGCAACTATAACCTAGGGTGATCCGAAGGGCCCATACTACATAGCCTCCTCTCCATATGAAATTTCCTAATTTTTTAATCAATGATGGAAATTTTTGGGAAGACTGACCAGATTCATGTAAACCTTTTCTTTACCAACGTTAATGTAAAGGAGGTGTCCACGTATGAAGTGCCTTAACTTAACTTAACTCTAGTTAGCTTATAAATGCAGTTAATTACATTAGTTAGTTAGTTAATGTTTACAGCTGTATATACATTAGTTAGTTGTTGTAATTGGGAGCAGTTATATGTAATAGTGCTGTACTCACTCTCAGATATATCGAAGAGTGAATACAGCACTATTACATATAACTGCTCCCAATTACAACAACTAACTAATGTATATACAGCTGTAAACATTAACTAACTAACTAATGTAATTAACTGCAGTTATAAGCTAACTAGAGTTAAGTTAAGTTAAGGCACTTCATACGTGGACACCTCCTTTACAGTTAAACTCCTCAGAGCAGTTCTTCATATTAGAATACTAAAGGTGAATTGAAAATTGATACAATGGTACTGCAAAAACTACTGCGTTCGTTCCAGCTTATGTGGCAGCATTTCCTATATAGTCCGATCAGAAAAAGAATGATAATCTCCTAATTTGGAAACAATTTAACTTAAACTTCCTATTTTACCTTAATGACAAGTTTTATAATGACACAAATGTTATGTCATGTTTAAGACCACAAGTTTCAAAAGTTTTATAGCCACAAGTTTCTATGTCAAACTACGCCACATAGATCGAACAAAGGGCGTGTCACATATCAAGGACCGGAGGAAGTCAGGTTATCACTATATTTTCTACCCATGTGGCCACTGGAGAAAACAGAACACCAAAATACTGACTCACAACCCTGTGATGTACATTATCTTGAGAAAATGTTCTCCAGTTAAGCTACTACAAATGAGACAGACAAATAAAGACTCAACAAATATGGTGTCACCAAAATTTTAAATAAGATTATGAAAGAGGAGGCCTTTTTTTTCCTATTGGAGGATTAGTGACGTTGATAATAAAGTGTTGATCGAAAATAGGAAAACTCTAACCTGAGCATGAGCAATATAGAATTTTAGCCTATTCATTTCACTAGCAATTCTCTCCAGGAGCATGCTTTGAGTTTCCCTCAGGCTCAGATTAGATCCTGTTTCGATCCCATTCTCTGCATAATTCACATCATGTCCATTGGACAAATCAGCTGCTGGGAGCTCCTTAATCAGTTTTTCAACCTGCAAAGCAATCAGATGAGATGAATACTAAAACTCCTCAAACTCCAACATGAAAATGTGCAGTGAATGAATATGTAGTGTACCTTGGAGACAACATGGAAAGTATCAAGGAGAAGCTCAAGAACTTGGCGGGCCTCAGCAGCATCAGCTCGCTGTTTAAGCCTGTTTTGGAGGGCAGCAAGAGATCCTTCAACAGCATTTCGAAAAGCATCAATTTTGTCCCTGATCTCAACCAGTGGGGCTCGCATACGAACCACAGCGGCGTCAACATCAGTAAGCTTCGTACTGAGGCTAACAAAATCCGCATAATCTCGATTGATGAGGTCCACCAGGTCACGCTGTAGCGACGTGAAGTGGGAACGGAGTTCAGAACGGAGAGTTTCGAGAGGAACAAAGGTGCGTAAATCGGAGATATAGGATTCCGGGTCGAAGTCTTGGGATTGGAACAATGTTGGGTTTAGCCATTGTGGTGGGTTTGGATCACTTGGATCTCCAAATAGGTCCGCCGCGGAGCGTGGTGCTGCGTGTGCCGATTGTGGTGGTGGAGATTGAAGATCTTGCATCTGGCTATTTGATAATATTGGGGGAAATTGCTCTGTGCTGTGAAATGCTATGTGAATTACGAACCAAGACAAGATTTGGTATTTTACGGTTAAAAATGGAAGCTTTCAGAATAATTACACGTTTTGCTGTACTATTAAATAAGGGTTGTGCTGATTTAGGTATGGTAAAAGAAGGTAAAAGTTAAAAGATTCATGTACACATAGTGAAATGCGGTTTGAGTTAGAATTTGTACGTACTAGGAGTGTTTTGATTCATATGTACTCAGTGCGTTGGCGGATTGTTGATGCGCAGAAGGTGTTTGATTTAAGTTCTGACTCAGATTTGGTGACTTGGAATACATATGATGGACGGGTATGCGAAAAATGGAGAAGTGACGACAAGGAAAAAATGAAACTCCAATCTACTCTCTTTTAAGCCGGTCGCAATGTTGTTCTGAATAATCTTTTTTAGCTTTTATTTGTTTCATATGTAGTCATCTTAAGTGCAAATTTGATCTTTTAACGCGAAATGGTTTTCTGGCCACTTAAACTTGTCGAGTTTTTTAAAACCGATACATAAACTTATAATTTTCCCATTTAAACATTCGAACTCGTTTTTACATAACTAATAAACATATTTGACCATTGACCATGCCCATGTGATGTCAGTTGGTTCTAATCAGCAGCCCGCATGAACAACACGACGCACACGAGCGTGAAAACCCCTTCCCAACGCCCAACAGTACAAAATACCCCCTTCCTCCATTTTTAAACTCCATTTTCAATTTTTTTTTCATTTTTCAAACGGTGAAGAAAAATTTTTCAAGGAGTAGAAGGATTCAACGCCCAACAGTCCTAATCATTTTTCAAACAAAAAACTCAAGTCTCTCGTAGAAGAATCAGTTCAAGGAGTGAAGGATTCAATCCTTCCTGATATCCGTTCATTATTACTGGAAGTGGTGGGAAATCAACATCGAGACCCAACGATGGAAGTCACTCGCCATCGCCATGGGAGAGACCCACACGATGACCAACCTACGGCGGCATCGATTCTTCGCCATAGAGGTCCGGTGGAGATAGGGCGGTTTCGTGGTGAAAATCCGGAGGCCTGGATTTTTCAAGCAGATCGCTACTTCGATTTTTACCACATAGCAGAGGATCAAAGGCTCTCAATCACCTCCTTCTACTCCCTTTCTCCTTAGTTGTTGCTAGTTCCAGTATTTCATTGAAATTTTTGATTTAGAGATTTCATCCGTGTCTTTGTAAATGAGTTTCAGTTTAATCAATCAACAGTTGTGGTACTATTTTCTGTTAATTTGAGTTGCACTCTTCTGCTCTTTTGAATTTGTAACATTGATGTCTAATGTTCTCCGTAAAATGAGGGCTGCTGTAGGTGGTGAAAAGAAGAAATGAGTTGCATGAAGAAGAAGCTAAAGCGGTCAAAAGAGAAGGAGTTGCTGCTTGACTTTTCGCGCCCTTACGCGTAAGACATCCATTGGTCATTTGCTGACTGGATGGACACGTATGTATATGTGTAATACACACGCACATGATCAATGTTATTAGTTATGGAAAAAACGAGTTCGAGTGTACAAATGGAAAAGTTATAAGTTTATGTATCGACTTTAAAAAACCCAACAAGTTTAAGTGACCAAGAAATCATTTCGCCATCTTTTAAAAAGGTAAAAAGTAGGATGTGGGTGACAGATCAAGTGCAAAAGCTGAGTATAAAGCTATTGAGTATTGAATTGGCAACATGTGAGCTGATGTGTTTGAAGTAAAAGTTAAAAATGAGAGTAAACGCAGATGAATTGATTCGTGAAGATCAAAATTTGCTATATATTTCGTCTAACTCGATATTTGCCCAAACACATTGCAATCTGGACTTATCTTCACTAGATTTGTCAAATAATTAAAATGGTGCCTGGTAGGCATATTACAAAGCATGTCCATGTCCAAGAATCAAGTATGTATAACTGAACCTATGACACTGCAATTTAAGGGGAGTCTATAACGCGTCAAGATTTATTGTATATATTTTAATTATTGCACAAAATATTTTTCTAATGATTATATTATAATTAGAAACCATTTAAATTTTATTATTTCACATAATTCAAGTTTTCAAAATAAGGAGCTCTCGTAGGTTGTACAATGGGAATTCAACAAGAAAATCTTTCTTCCCTTTACAACAATATTTTCATCAATTAGATTAACGGAGATTAATAGAAGTTATATAAAAAAAGATTCTGTAACATTTTTTATTTGATGAAAGTATATAAAAATCTTAAGACAAAATACACTTCGCTTAACCAAGGAAACCACAAGTGCAATAATTGCATCCAAAGGAGTGTTTTAACTTTAAATAATTTGCAATTAGAGTGTAACAAAATCAAAGAAAGCCGTGCAAGATACTTTTTGCAATATAAGTCGTAGACAAAATTTGAAAGGTACGATAAAACCCAAGCTTTTTCTGTTCCAACCAATCAGCGTTTCCCAATTGGTTGACTTTTTATTCCTTACTCTACAACCGACCGCACCCAATTCAATTTCCAAATACAAGAAGTATCTCAATTCCTCAATCTGTATCTTCGCACTCCCTCCCTCAAACGCGTAATCTTCCAACTTTCTCGCATTTTCTTCCCTTCTAATAATGGCAATTTCTATAGCTGCTGCCGGAACCGGAGCCGGCGCTTTGACTTCTTCGTCGGCGAATTGCTATTCTTCCACAAAGTTAACATACTTGTCTTCCTTGCAATTTCCCAGAGAGCTTCGCCGTCTTCAAATTGGAAACTGTGGGTTGAAATCCAATAAAGGGACTTCACGTTTTGTTCCTCTGGTATTTCTTTTTCTTTTATTCCAAATCTCAAAATTGTTTTTTTTTTTTTGAAAAATTATTTGTGTTTGTTTTCAGCGGTGCATGTTAACTTTCTTTTTGACTATCTAATTAATGTTGAAAGGAAATGAATAGTGTTACGAGAAATTAGGTCCACAATGAGTTTCAGTTTATTATTGTTACTTGTATTTGCTAGTTTACTAAAGATGTGACCTGCTATTTAGTTTCTTTTTTACTAAAGATGTGACCTGTTGTTTAATTTCCTGTACTTCAATTTGTAGTCTAAAGCTCTTTTCTAGTGCCAAGGGTAAAAATGTTAGTAATTGATAAGCTAGTGCAAAGGGGGGAAATGTTACACCATTGGCTAAAGGTGAGTTTTGCATAGATGAAATTTGAATTCTTGAAATAACTGAGAGTAGTATCAAATTCACTGCATATTTTTAAAAGATTGTCAAATATTTTAGGATGTTGCAAAATAAATACAACAACAAGAACAACAAAAAAACCAGTTTAATTCCACAATTGGGGTCTAGGAAGGATAGTGTGTTAGTAAACCTTACCCCTACCTTTATAAGAAGGCAAAGAGACTGTTTTCGATAGACCCTCTGCTCAGATGCAATAAACAATATTCTTTTTTGTTGGAGATAAACTAGTAGTTGTATACTTATATATAGTGTGGAAAGTGAGCCATTCTTTTGTTTCATATAAAAGCTTAAGAGAGAGTACTACTATTTTAACCAAGTGAGATAACAAAATACAGTAGATGTAAACTGTCAGAAAATAAGACATACTCCCTCCGTTCCAGTTTATGTGAACCTATTTCCTTATTGGTCTGTTCCAAAAAGAATGACCCCTTTCTAAATTTGGAAACAATTTAGCTTAAACTTACAATTCTACCCTTAATGAGAAGCTTTTATAACCACACAAATACTCTGGGCCCCTTTTTGACTTGTTTAGGACCACAAATTCCAAAAGTCTTCATTTTTTCTTAAACTCCATGCCCAGTCAAACAGGTTCGCATAAATTGGGACGGAGGGAGTAGTAACTTTTCATTCACTTGCTATTTGTTCATCATTAGCAATATGCTGTTGGAGGATCTTGGACTTCTTTTTTTCTATTTGTTCATTGCCTTCTTGTTTAGTGCTGCATTTACTATGTTAAAACTTGATGTTTAGCAATAAAATTAGCATGAGACTGCTGAATTGCATTAGATTAAATCAATTTTCTGATTGAATCGTATCTGTTAATTAGGTTGAAGCAAAGAAGGAAACGTTTTCTTCCTTTGAAGAATTGTTGGAGAAATCTGAGAAACCATTATTGGTTGACTTCTATGCTACCTGGTATGTTGTTCTATTTGTTTTTAGTTTTATGCTCCTCGGCAACCTTCACGCTTTCTTGAAAAAATAGTAGTAAATGCTTCAGTCTCCGACTCTCATGGGCTGCATTCAGTGTCATTTCTTTACATCAAAAGGAGAAGAATACAAATGCTTACAATATTATTAAGTAGATATAGCTAATTGCTCAATCTTAAGTTCTTCGAATTCAGTGGTGTCAAAAACTTTTCTACAGTTTCCAGGGACACAATAATGAGAGGATTTCCCAAACTACTGGCATTTCTCAATAATGTGATGTACATCCATTTCATTTAAGAACTGATCTAAACTCTGGATTGCAGGTGTGGTCCTTGCCAGTTCATGGTTCCTATTCTAAATGAAGTTGGTGAATCGATGAAAGATAAAATTCAAGTGGTGAAAATCGATTCAGAGAAGTACCCAGCCCTCGCAGATAAGTACAAAATACAGGCACTGCCAACCTTCATATTGTTCAAGGATGGAGAAGTCTGTGATCGCTTTGTAAGTGGAATAGACCTTGTTTTTTTACTTGTTTTCATGTTGGTTTTTTGAATAGCAAGCTACGCTAATTTCTTCTTGAATGACATTGGTAGTAAGGAAAAGCCATAAGATTGTAAGTTACCAAGTAGATAGATTTCCTATTTACAACTAAGTTTTTAACCATTTATTATTTGTGACCATATTATGCCTCTTCACCTTATTGCACACGCACACCCAAAGCCCAAAAAAAGTAGAAAAAGAAATGCTCGAATAACTGCTTGAAAACAATAGAAATCGGAAACTGGACCAAGGTGGGGATCTTGGAAAGTGCTTGTAGCTTTTACGATTTATTGAGCAAGGGAAATGCTAGTCCGGCAAATCAGCAACAAGACATGAGGGTTTGGTGGATCTTTCTTCTTCTTCGTCTCTTTTTTTTTGCAAATTTTCTACTTGATTAGTAGTTTTTAGTTCAAGTGTATCTTGTGTATATAACTGCTTTAATGTCTTGTTTCAGGAGGGCGCACTCAATGCTCCGACTTTGATGCAACGCATAGAATCTGCACTAGAAGTTAAGCAGTAGTCTTGGCATTCTTCCTCTCAAGTGCTCTGGATCCTCCTTTTATGAAGTCATTTGTGTTTAAATTTCAAAGATGTTGTGTGGTATAACATCTCGGAAGCCTTCAGTTTCTCACTCCACTGTATTTGCTCAGAAATTTGATTAGATACGGGTGTAGAACGGTTAATCCATTTGGCCTAACTGATGCATTTTTTTCCCTTTAAATATGGAGACTTGAACTTTTCAAAGAATGTCTTACTTTGATCAACTATTGTGCAATGTATTGAGGATTTAAATTGGAAGTGTACTGCAATTTCCTTTTTCAGAGCAGAACATGATCTGCTATTTTTTAGGCAGTGTAGACGACTTTGCTTTCGATTGTTAACAGGTATTCTGGATAATAGGGAAGTCTAATAATTATGTTGTCCTAGCGCTCAGTTCTTACGGGTGATTTCCAACTGAGAGTCTATGACACTGGTTGAATGAGGCCAGCTGGTTTAGATTATTTCTTGTAATTCGATGAGTATATTTTTTTATTTTAAAGGTGATATTAGCATTTTGAAAATAAATTCAGAAACAAAACAGAAAAGGAAAAAACGATTGCATTTGAATTAATGATACGAACTCAAATACAAGGAATCAAATAAAATAAACAAGACAAGATAAAGGGGACAACACAAGAAATTAGACAAGGGCGAAACAGAAATTAGAAGAAAGATGGATATTCAATCCAAGGGCAAAGAGATTGAACTCATAATGGGATCCATAACCAGAGAAAACCAAATTGAGTTCACTAAAGAGATACAAAAGGTATATTCCTTACCCATTCTCCAAAATAGGTAACATGTTCATTCATCAAAATCTATCTTGTGAAACTATATCATAAAATTAGCTATTTGTACTAGCTACCTAAAGCTATTACAAGAATGGCCAAATAGGCCTTGATTGCTAATTGCAAACCTAATCTTCAATCTTGACCTCTTATAGCACTCATTTGCCTTGATATCATCTTGTAAGGGTCTCTCTTTGGGAGCTGCTTGCGCGGTGGACGACCCTTGGACATTTTTAAAGGGCTTGAACGGCTTATTTTTTGTCATTTTCGAGCAAGGATAGTTCCCAAACTTCTCAACACCTCTCTAACAGTTCTCAAGGGTTCCAAATCAAATCCAAGGGTGTTTTACCCAAAACCTAGCCTCAAAAGTTAGCCTAAGTGAAAAAGAGAGTCTCTATGGTTTTGTGATGTGATTAAGGTGCTTGTATGCTAAGGGAAGCTTTGGTTCGAGCTTTTTCAGATTATTTAAGGTACACCCTATTTCTTGGGATTAATCTTATCTATGTGTTGGTTAAGTTATTTGGATGAAGAATTACAAGATAGGACTTGAAGTTGTATAAGAAATTGTTATCTCTTATTGGACTATTTTGGAGTTATGTATATGACTTCATATGGCTGGAAATCGTGGGGAATAGCTTGGTTATAATGTTATTATTGTTGTTATGCTTGTCAATATGTTGAGTATGTTGATGATGTTGTAAATAGGAGAAGAAGCAACCACACAATACCTAGAAGTTGTTCATGTCGTTGTTTTATCTTGTGGGGCTGTTTGATGTTACTTTTGTGATGGATATAAGGTTGGTATTCATGTCAATATATATATATATATATATATATATATATATATATGCTGGACCTGTTGATGGCGTTGTAAGTACAGGGGAGATGGGAAAAAGAGTTGGGGTTTGGTTCCAATCCAAGCTTGCCGCTCGTCGTGTTAAATAGCAGTTTTGTGTGTGACGTTTGTGCGCTTATTGTTGTATAGATTGATTGGTGTTGTTGGGCTGTTGGTATATGGTATTTCTTTTTACAGGGGAGATACTGCCCAAATTTACGTAAACGAGCTACTAGCTTAAGTTACGGACTTAGCCTTTACTCAGCATCGATTTTGAATCTCCTTATGTTATCGGTAGAATGAGTTGAGTTGTTTGAAGAGTTGCTTGGAAGCTATTAAGGACTCAACGAGGTTAAGGTACGTTAAGGTAAATCTTTTCTTCATTTTGGCATGATCCGGTAACTACATGTGTTTGATAACGAGACATAAAGAGAAGTTCATATTCCTGAATTTATGTATATTTTCCTAGTCTCATAAGTTATAGCGTTCTCCCTTATCGGGACTTCATATTCAATTTAGTTTTGTCTTTTTTCAGCCAAGAGAGCAGAGAGTCTATATATATATACAGTATTACATTATTTTTACCACCATCGAGCTATAATTGATGGAAAGGCCCCTACTGGGAAACCTCAGATCAGATGGTAAGTAATATACCGAGCCTACTATGGTCGAGCTCCTATGAACGAGCCCAGAATGGCCGAGATACAGAGCCTAGTATGGTCGAGCGCCTATGAGCGAGCCTACTACGGTAGAGTAGCTACACATACCGAGCCTTATAGGGCGGACAGCTATTTTACTTATTATATTGAGAGAGATGAGTCAGTATCAGTAGGTAAGCATATTTTCAAATTATATTTGACTCCCAGATATTTTTAGTTATTATATTATCAGTTCAGTTTCAGCTTTCAGTTATTCTGTTGCCTTACATACTCATTACATTATTTCGTACTGACGTCCCTTTTGCTGGGGACGCTGTATTTCATGCCTGCAGGTCCTGATAGACAGCTGGATAGACCTTCCCAGTAGACAAAGTCAAACATCAGCTTGGTTTGTAAGCTCCACTTCCTCGGAGTTACCAGGTCTATACCTTGGAGTCCATTTTATATATACAGGTTTGATGGATAAGTCGAGGCCCTGTCTCGACCATGATACAATTCAGTTATCCCTAGAGGCTTGTAAACGAGGAATATACATTTTTTATATCAATATTGTGGCTTTATCAGCCCTATGTATATGTTTAGTTTGGTATTGCTGGTTGTAGATGTTATTCTCAGATGATTTGGAATATGACCTCATCAGCCTAAGTTGAGGGTTACCCCTCCAGAGTTTATAGTTACAGAGTGGTACGCTAAGGCCGATTGTGGCATTGGGTGCCGGCCATGCCTCTTCAGGTTTGGGCCGTGATAATTTGCAGACTCTATAAAGGAATTATGTGGTCAAAAGAGCCTATATGAGGGGGTAAGGTTGCAGGCACTTCAAAAATACCTGAGTTCTGCTTGATAAGAGCAAACAAGTCAGGTGTAAGTGCAGCTTCCTGTGTGGCTTGTATGTTATGACATTGCATCCCATATGCATCTTGTCCATCAGTGACATCATGAAGAACTGGGACTCTAAGTCATTTAAATTAGGAACGGAGTAGCTTTAGTTGACTTCAATTGGTTATTAGCACCCCTCAGTACATTTTTCTTGCCTTGGTATACAAATTCAACAGTCTTGTTCTTGAAATCAAACATGATTCTTCCTAATGTACTGAGCCATTGTACTCCAAGTACTATACCAACATTTCCTAATGGTAACAATAGGAAGTCTGATGAGAATGTTGTTACTTGCAGTAGCCATTGTAGGTTCTAGCACACAACAGCTATCTGCACTTTTCTACTATCAGCTACACTACACTGATAGATTGCTCAACTATAGAGCTAAATTGGCGCCCTAGTTTCTTGGAAACTTCCTGATCAATAAAGTTGTGGGTACTCCCAGTATCAATCAAAACTTTTAATGGTCTTTTCTCATGATAACCAGTGACTCTAATTGTCTGGTAACCAGACACACTAGTGAAATCTTTCAAGGATATAGTCATAAATTCATTCCTAGGTTCTACAACTTCCTGGATCAATACCTCCTCTTCCACCTCAATTGTTGTGGTTGTTTAATCTTCAAACACATCCACCACAACAACTACTTCCTAGACTTGCATTTGTGCCCCATCTCATATTTTTCATCACAAAAGAAGCACAGACTCTTAGCCCCTTTTTCATCCATTTGGCAGTCAGCCTCCTTCCCAATCTATTTGGTTTGTTTGAGTTGATTTCAGTATATCTTTGGTGAGTAAGGTTTGGTGTAAAAGTTTTCTGATTGTTCTGTGATCTGTAGTCAATTAGAGTGGGTAAAATGGGATTGGAGTTAGAGTGAAAGGATCTAGAAACAGGTTTCATTCCTTGGGTTTTGGCTTGGGCATAAAAAACTTCCTCTTGTAATATGGCAATCTTATAAGCTTTCATTAAAGTTCTTGGTACTTGGATTTGTTTATTCAGGTCTGGTCTAAGAAACAACTAATAGCATTCTCAGTTGTCAGATTAACAACAGTCAATAATCTGTCAAACTCTACTTGATATTCCTTAACCTCAGCAGTTTGGCTTAAATTCTTCAAAGCCTCCATAGGTTCCTCAAAATTATCCCTAAATCTTTCATTCAAAGCCAGCACATACTCAATCCACGATAAGTCTATGGTAGAAGTTCTAGATTTCACATAAGATCTATGCCAAGCAATGGCATCACCATCCATGTGAATAGATGCTACCTTCACCCTTTGTTCAAATGTAACCTCATCCATAGAAAAGTATTGATCAACCTTATACAGCATACACAAATCTACACCAGAGAATACGAGGAAAATCTAGTTTTGAGAATTGAGTAAAGAAGTTACCATTTCCTTGATGAGCAGAGCCACTATGTGATTCTTTGTTTTTGACCTCCATTGGTTCCCCTCTGTTAATTGAAGACTCATCTACAATTTGTTCCTTTCCTTTCTGAGGGATGATGCCAATGGCTTCCCTAAGGCCTAGCAATTCCTTATCAGCTTGTGAATTTCTCTCGCTCATGCTTACCATGCCATCCATCACCTTCTACAACTGCTCTTGAATCTGAGACAGTTTGTCCTCCATTTTGTCTACTGGTTTGTCTTGATTTTTACTTCGAGTCATGTTGATTATTCAAGAATCAACAGCTCTGATACCAATTGGTACAATCAGTGAAGATCGCAATGGGGATTTGTTAGTCTAGGAGCTAAGCTCGAAGAAGATGGCAGCTAGATCAGGGTATAACCGAGAAATTAGCTAGAAGAGAAATGAGAAGAGAAAAAAAGAGAAGAGAGTTGTTGATACCCAATTTTTCCCTATGTATTTTCATACCCAAAAATACTTTCAAAATAGCATGTGTATGCATATATAAGCATGCCCAAGAGTTTTGATATTTTTCCCTAATTTTCTAAGATTTTAAAATTAATTTATTATCTATTTTAGCAGTACAAAATCCCATAATTATTCTCAAAATTATCATTTTTGTGAATAATTTATTTCCATCCTCATATTTACACCAAAATATAATTAAGGTGATTTTTGCATATTATTACAAATTTATTTGGTATTTTTTAAGCTAA